TTCTGCTCCTCCTTGTTGTTGGAGAAAATAAGGAGCGCTTCGGTTCGGTGTTTAATATACTAAAACTATTAGTAACACGTAATGACGCCATATTGTATTATTGTCCCTCTCTCTCTCTCTCTCTCTCTCCCCCCCTCGCCCTCTCGAAACTTCAAGCGGTACGTTTGTTTCAGATCAGAACCTTACTAGTTTTCTTTCCTTTTATATTTTCTTTATAACTTTTCCTGGTGTCCACGTCTTAGCGATTTTCTTCCACATATGCCTTATCCTTTCTTTTGGCCTTAACGTATATATAATATACCTCATCTTTATTCACAATTTATTATTATTATTATTATTTTTATAATGTGTGTGTATAGCATGTCCCCTCACATGTTCACATGCATTCATCCAGGGGTGGAGCTAGAATTGTAAAGTTAGGGGGGGTCAAAGAAGAAAATATACAAGTATATAAAACACCTAAGTATTCAATAATTACATATTTAGAGCTAAATATTTCTAATTGAGTCATGTCTAATTTGTTTTAGAGGAAATTTTAACTTAAATTATAAGTTGTTTATTACAAATTCTATATATTATATATAATATAATAGAGGAGAGATAAAATCAACAAGTGTTTTTTCATTGTTCTGACCAATCTAATCCTAGCTATTCAAGAAGTAGTTTGCAATAGATATTAATCAAATGTAGTTGGTATAAGCAGCCCTTGGACACCATGAACCAAATTGTGTCATTGAATCGAATAATCTTCTTATCCAATCTCTATATATGTAAGTAGTCATTTACGTTACTGACCATTCTTGGTGAGTTAGCATGATGCTTCATCAACTGTATAGTAGGAAAGAAAATTAGGGCTGAAAGTCATGGAGGACTTCTTAAGCTAATGTTCACAATTACATTGTATGTTAAGGAGTGAAGCTGAAGTGATTTCCGTCATTTACTTAGTTAATTATAATCTCTCTTAGTGTGTTTTTGTCCTTGTTCTGTATTTCATTTTCACTTGCGTTTGTGCTGAAACTTCAATGATAAACATGTTCAATCAAAATTTGTCATTTTTTTGGGATCAAACTGAAATCACCTTCATTGACTGCTTAAAATACATCTAGCAATCAGAGAACTAGAGGAGTAAATTAGTGGCCTCGTTAAAACCTTGCTATAAAAAACCTCCCGAAGGAGGAAAATTCAGTCAAGGAAAGAGTACCACACTCCTCTTTTGTCATTTAATTCAGCAATCTCAACTTAAATATTACAACGTGGGTTGAAATGAGTCTGTTAGCTGAAGAAGCTGAAGCAACCTGAAGGAGCATGACTACGAATCGAGGCTTCACTGTTTGACGTGTTAACTGCCTCTAGCATGGAAACAACCTCCTCCATTTCTGGCCTTCTCTTGGGTTCTACATCCCAGCACTGTTTCATCACTTTGGCTAGAGAGCTTGGGCAACGCTTGGGTATCTCTGGCCTCAAATTCTGAAGCAACACAAAAGTACAAAGATAGTAAGTTTGGGGTCACTCAGACTACATTATAAAGCTTCATTTGACAAAAAGAAAGAAAGAAAGATGGAAATATAAATTACATACTTTATAAACAACAGCTGAAGTCAATTCGGAGAACGTGATGTTAGGGTAGGGCATATCGCAGCAATACATCTCCCACAAGCAAATGCCGAAGCTATAAACGTCGCATTTTCTGTTGTAGGGATTACTTTCCAAGACCTGCATCATCATCATCATATTATCCAATTAGAACATTTGGTATTGATCAGATTGCTGCAATTAAAATATAATTCAAAGTCTAGGGCAAGCCTTTAAAATCTAAGTAGAGAAAAAAGAAAGTGAATTAATTGATACCTCAGGGGCCATGTATCCAGGGGTTCCCGTGTAGCCTGTCATCTCTACTAAATTTGAAGCCTCAAGACGAGCAACTCCAAAGTCTGCTATCTTCACCCTGCCATCCTTATCAAGAAGCACATTTTCCGTTTTCACGTCTCTATGAACAATGTTCTTGGAGTGCAAATAACTCAATCTGCATGCAAACACACATACATATATCATTAGTATATTTGCATATATAATATATATTGAAAAACATATGTTAGAAACGTATGTATTATTACACTATATATTACTTAGGTCCAGGGAAAGAAATCAACAAAGATAAATAATATATGTAGGAAAAGAGAGATACCCTTTAGCAAGATCAACTGCTAGTCGTTTGACTGTCTTGAGAGGCAACTTCTTTTTCCGGTGTTGTATGAGGAAGGCTTTTAGGGTTCCACCGGAAAGATACTCAGTAATAACAGAGGCAGAATCAGTATCCGTTGTGGCTCCAATACACTAATCACCAAAAAAAAATTAAAGAAAAAGAATTAATAACAAATAAAGATAAAAATATTTGAGAGTAGACAGAAGAACGAAAAGCAAAAACAAATAACCATTGTCGTAGTACCTTAGTAATGTTAGGATGATCAAGCTTATGCCAAATGGAAACCTCTTGCCTAAAATCTTTCTTCAAAGAAGCTATTTCAGCTTTTGTTCGGCCGTCTTCTCTCCACTCCAACATTTTGACTGTATAATCAAGGAAAAAAATAAAAGATACACCGTCAGTGAAGTTTGAGAAAATTATGTACACATATATACACATGAATTTGTGCATGTAAACATATTTAAAATAACCATACCTGCAACTTCTTGGCCATCGTAGATGGCTTTATGGACAGTACCGAAGCCTCCACGGGCAAAAACTTGTTTCACTACAAGTTTCTCTCGAATGATTTTCCATTCTTGAGGAACTTCTTTGGCCGCCACGGCTCTCACGTTGATGACTTTGCTTTCTTCATCATGCAACTCTTTCTTCTTCTTCTTCTTCATATAGCGCAGGTGGAGATTCTCCAACTGCTCGTCCAAACTTTTCACGTCAATCTTGGTTGCCAATGCCATTTCTTTAGTATGAGAGTTTATGAGAGTTTTGAGTTTGTGGTGTTTGTGGTGTGGTTGGGTATATATTTTAGGTATGAGAGTTAGGAGGTTTGAGTTGTATATATAGAGTCGAACCACGAGGCCTCTTCCCTTTCTAACAAGGTATGGTAATCCATTTACAAATGGAACACTACCTTCATTTACCTAGCATTAGAAGTTTATAACTATTTATTTATACAGACCCCAAAATATCAAAATGGACCTATTTATATTACGTTGTCTTTTCGACTAGATCCCTAGAACTAAGCCATTTATCACATTTTTTAACCCCAAAAAAAAAATAGAAAGCCATTTATCACATTTGTGTTCGCCCCACCAATGATGCGGTGCAAAAGTAAAATTTATTTTTTATTTAAGAAGATAATCCAGCCCTAAATTTATAAAATTAAATAGATTAAGCACCAAATGGTGTGGTATCTTTTTTTCATATCTTTTATTTTTTTTTAAACGTAGATATACATCTTATTTTGTTAAAAGGAAAAAAAAATAATGGAACCATACAACTCACGACATCTGTTGCACCCTTGGCCTAAGGCTTAAGCTTCGCTTCTCACATATGAGTAAGCTAGTTGTATTTGTCACCGAATACCGGGGAAAACTCATAATCTTGGAAACCCTACTTCCTACTTTCACCAATAAAAACTCATGTTGACCCTATATATATATTTCTTTGAGGGACACTATTTAGGTCCCTATGAATATTTTTTCAACGATACAATTCCAAACCATCTATTTTTAAAGTCTTCATTCATAGATCATTCTTGCAAAAAATCATGCAAATTGAAAATCATTAGGCATCTAGTTGGGATTAACAAAATAGACGAACACGGTGCTTCAAGAAAAGGTTATAATAACAACTATCTAATTGAGTGGTCAAATAAACTTTGAAACTCTCTGATAATAGTTTGAACAAACAATTCTACCTTGTAGTCATCTAAACCCATAAATTCGAAATCACATCCCCAAATTCCTCAGCTTTTTCGGATTGGCGAGTTGTTCTTTACGGGTTGGGATTTGTTATCCCCAAATTTCATGTCCCCTTTTGTCCCTTGTGTAAAATTTTGCCACATGTCCCTCTAAGCTTTTTTAGCTTAGTATAGTCCTTGCCTTCTATTTCTTCGTTTCCCTATATCACTGGTGATGTTTTAGCGTTTTCGTAATGAAGTACTATTTTAGAAACAAAAAAAAAATAAAGATATTTAGTCATATATTCATTCTTAGCATTAAAACTATAAATAAACCTTACACCATTTAATTTCTATAAATAAACCCAAAAAAAAAACTCAAAAAATGATAGATGGCCCTATTGAATTTAATTTTGATTATTAAATTACTTTGATGCCCTTGATTGTTTTGGCTTGGAGTTGGATTTGTTTTAAGAAATCAATGACAGTTTTGTAATTTAAAAGAAATTAAAAGCCTTTTTGTTATATTGTAAATGAACTTTGGGTGTGTTTCTAAAATCCATTTTATATAGATTTTTTTTATAATTTGAGCTCCTATATTGGGTATAATAGTGAATCTCCCAAAAAAATATGTTAACCCTTATCAATATTATATATAATACAAATTTAGACCATATTATATCCTCAGTCCCTTCGTCTTCTCTCCACCATGGCAAATGATTGTTTTTCAAAACCCTTCTATATGTTGTAAATCTCTTATGATTTTGGACGTTCTCTATCTTTTTTCTTCCATCCAAGAAATTCAAGCGGGGTAGTGCTGCTTAATAATGGTGAAGTGCAGCCGCTAACTTGGCGCTGCTTCCTGGATTGGACCCAGATAAAACCTTTTAAATGTAGCTGATACTAGCCACTCAGCCCCAGTTGCACTTGAAGAGAATGATGAATCCAATCCCAATATTAATCATCACTAATGATTGCGCAAATACTTCCTCCTAAATTTCCACACGTCGTGATACACATGCATACTAAATTCGGAAGCATCAATGAATTGGTCAATATATCTGTTACTGCACAAGGCACTCTACGGCCTTAAACATACCTCAAGAGCATAGTTTCACCCATTGGATTCCTTTTTGCTTACACAAGGATTTCCCACAGCCAATTGCTCTTTGTTTATTCATCGCTCCTCTCATCACAATATCAAAATGAAAAATTTTAAACGTCTACGAAAATGGGTACCCTCTTTTATTTACTAGTATTACATGAAGGTTCGAACCTAGGATCTCTACTCGCATCCCTCCATCCCTCCATCCCTCCATCCCTCTATCCATTAATAATGCTCTCCTGTTAAACTAGCTAAGTTAATCTGTCACATCTTGCGCACTTGCCAAAGAGAACACCCATCTGGGAAAGGCTCTTCTGGCCTCTTCTATTCTCTTTCTTTAGAGTTTTTCGCTAAAGCAAAGCCTTCTTGCCTTAGGAAAAAACAACACAAGGGTTTCCGCAAATTTGAATTTTGGAATCTTCCTGTAAAACTTAAGAAAATGAAGCACGTATTAAGCCTCACACTCGTCATATGACTTTGATCTTTCTATTACAACCTTGAACTTCTTATCCCTTCTCCTGACCTGCAAAATCAAAATGTTTAAAGTTTTTAGTTAACACAGCTCGAGAGCAAAACAGAACGAAAGCAATAGAGGAAAACTTCGCCCGGGAAGAAAAAACTGTTGTATGATAATCAAGCAACTATTGGCAAACAAAAAAACACAAGGTAATTTCAATATGCGTTCCCTCCTAGCAAATTATGATTTGGATTAAAACTTGCATCAACGAAACCAAATTCCAAGTAGTTATGAGTTACATAGCCCTCCTGGTGGTTTTCCAGAGCCACATGCTCAATTAAATCACACACTGCCAATATAAAAACAAAAACAAAAAATCCAAAACAATTATCTGTGATATGACATTGTTGGGTTGACAAAGGAAAATGAAATTGTCATCAATATATCAACCTTTAACTGGCCAATTGTTTAGCTAAAAGGGAAAAGAAAAATAAAGCAAAGGACAAGAATATGTCTTTGAGACCTAAAAACTTCAGAGGGATTATAGTTTAAGCTCGCTAGGTCAAGCCAATCAAACCACTACTTTTTTTGGCACATATACCAACAAAATAAAAAATAAAAAAAGGATGATGTGAATACTTACAAACAGTTAAAATTCTATAATTTTAACTATGCATCTTGATTTTATCTGACTTTGGTTGCTAGGAAATTTTCCTTGCTATAGAGTTATGATCATATCAAAATCTGAGAGGAGTAAATTGCCATATGCAAAACAACACTTCAAATTAAATCCACAAGATGTCAAAATATACAGCTACTGAGAGAATTACCTCGACCTGTGGGCTTTTGCCACGAAGCAGAATATCTACACTCTTTTCTGTCTGCCGGATGAGAGTAGAGGGAAAAGAGTATATTATATAAGTGAATAAGTTATTGCACGAACTAAAGAATAACTTATTCATATGAATAAAACAACTTATATATATAAGTTAATAACTTACATATGAAGAATTCACTTAATAAGTTAATTTACACACCTGATGTGTAACCCAATAGTGCCTCTGTCTCATCTCAATTAAGAATTCAAATGTTGGAGGTGCTTGCCTTTCAAGAATGGTTTTCTGAGATCTTCTAGCTTTGGCTTCACCATCTCCTAAAGTAACAGTTTCTACTCCTCCAACCTGAAAACAGAAATTACAAATTGGAAGTGCAACTTTTACCAAATCCTGCATCAAATTATTTATTTCTCATTGCACAGCCAATGGGGGCTGTTCTCTATAACTTGTTGGGCTGCAACTTCAATTTAATTGCACAACTTATCAACAAGAAAGGGAGTATAAGAGCACAAGACCCTCAAAATCATTTGACATATTAATTAAATCCTGACTGGCTTCACACATTACTCTGAACTTGCATACCAATAACCAATCTGGAATATTGATGTGTACAAGTCCATTAACCATGGTGACCAGCTCATCAGTGGTTCCCTTATTACTCTAATTTACTAGATCTTATAACGATTTCGATCTTCATTTGCTATTATCCAGGACAGTCCAATATGCAATAAGGGGAAGACAATCCAAAATTATGTTTGGATGTAATTTGGAATAAGAGAACTTCAAGCAGGAATAATTCCACATTGAGTTTCTTATAGAGATCAGAACAAACCAGATCAGATAGAGTAGGATTCTTTAGTATATTCTCAAGCTGCTGTCCATGAGCAGTAGCAATAAGCATGACCCCTCTCTGAGCAATCGAGCGACAAGCAAGAGCTTCAGCTGCTGTGCCGATCTCATCAACAATGATCGCCTCAGGCATGTGATTCTCTACTGCCTCTATCATAACCTTGTGTTGCATAGATGGTTCTGTTACCTGCATTCTCCGTGCTCCTCCTATTGCTGCATGTGGAATATTTCCATCCCCTCCTATTTCATTGCTTGTATCAATAATTACCTGTCCCAGTAGTGTTAGTGTTCTTTGAATCATGTGTTGAAATACAGATGCAAACACTTATAACAGAAGAGAGAGAGGAGGGAGAGAGGGAGTTGGCACCACATGATATAAGAAGAAGACAAAAAACTCAACTTACCACTCTTTTGTGAAATTCATCTGACAAGACACGAGCAATCTCGCGCAATACAGTGGTCTTGCCAACCCCAGGCCTTGACAAATTGAAGGACATCACCACTAAGGAATTATATATCACATAGTTTAGAAACATGCTAATACTTAAAAGCACATTTTTGGAAATCCTGTATCAATCAATAAGTTATTAGATTCTTTACTGAGTCACAGCAATGTTCATTGTTCACAGTGATCTTTGCCATATCCAAACTCTTCCTGTTTCTTTATTTTATTGAGCCACAGTTCACCAGGGAGGTACAAAACCACATTTGACATTGGCAAAAGCTGGAATGGCATTACAAGACCTCTTGATGTCATTTCTTAAGATCCAAAGAATGATAGATATAGCGCAGTTAAAGCTATCTCTTATTCTTTTTCAACTACTTATCCCCTTAGAAACCAGTCACACCCATGTGCAGGCTGTGCAAGACACAACATGGTAGTGTGATTTGTTTATATGCCATTACCCAACAACCCAATTGCTCCCATTGTAGCACATGTTTACCAGGACAACCTTTTTAACAACAATCAGATTACATACCTTCCAACAAACAAGATGCTCTTCTCATATTGAAGCATATCATAAAGCATGTCAATCTGACCACTTACAGCCCTCCCAACTCGGCAAGTCAATCCAACTATCAGCCCTTTCCTACTCTTAATAGCTGATATTCTGTGCAAGGTACCCTCAATGCCAGCTCTGTTATCTCCCCCAAAATCTCCAACAGCATTTTGAGCATGCTCCAACTCTTTCAACGATACCTGGGTAACAGCCATTTTGAATACATCAGTAAATCCAACTGAAGATTTTTTTTTTCTTTAAAATAGTGTGGGTGTGGGGGAATGTGTTGGGGGGAGGGAGGCCTGTGTAGTATACCATTCACTGTACCATTTGATTCATTGCAAGTAAGTTGCTGACTGCCCTAGAAAGTTAATTGAAGTGGAAGACTTAAACAATTTATAACCCCAAAAGTGTGGCTTTACCACTGTTCTCCTTAAATATTGGCCACCAAGTTCACCATGATAGCGTGCTTCCGGCATACGACCCAAATCCAATATAACCTATGGCATACATAAAGCATCGGATAATCATTCTGTAATAATATTTAAATAAATAAAAAAAACCAGAAAAACACAGGCTATCTAAATGCAAAATAGATACAAAAAGTGGGAGAATTGAGAAATGCCCCCTTTAAAGAAAACTTTGTTTTAAGTTTGCGATTGCATCATCAAGTGTGTCAACTAGAGATACACAAGTTTAACTGAGGCAGGGTGTTTCTATAATTGTATTGCAGTTGAAGAAGATAAACAAGTGATTCATACAACTGAGCAGTTGATAGATAGAGACTAGTCGATACTTGACAGACAATTCCAATGATAATTGAGCCTGAATCCTATCCTAGACATAAGAAAAATGAGGGAGATAGAGAGACCTCTAAGAGTCGAGCTCTTTTGGGCTCATTGAGAAGATTTTCGTGTAAATCATGTGGAAGAATCTGCAATACAAGGGAAACAAGACTTAAATTTTTAGAATCTGCAGAGTGAAACTTGAAAAGGAACGCCTGCCAAGAAATTAAAAGAATTTGGCGACAAGAAAAACGGAAAGGGAGACCTGCAACAAGGAGCGGAGATCGTCCTCATCATCCCGGACGACAACATCATGCTGCTGCTGCTGCTGATGTTGATCATCAAGGCAACTGGAACTGTAGCCAAAACCCATAGGCGCTCTCAATCCCACGCAGCACAGGGACAAGGAATAGGAGTTGGAATAGGAATAGGAATAGGATATGTTGTTCTTCTTCTTCTTGTAGTACAACTTGTTCTTCAAATTCAATAGCATCAAACTCGTCACTCCCGCAACCGCCACCGGGTTTGGGTTTACCCACAAGCTACTATGACAATGACTCATCATCCTGCTTCTGCTGCCGCCGCTGGTCTTCCCTTCTCTGCTGCCCTCTGGTCTTCAATCACTCTGCTCTTCAGGCCACAGCCCTTTTAACCTTAGCTGGGCCTGGCTGACTGGCGGCAACTGGGGAGGGATATAGAATACGATACAATCTTATTTTTCCTTTTTCTTTTATTTTTTGTTTTGAAGGGTAAGAAAATGTTTTATAACTTGAAAAAATTGAAATTTTTATTTGAATTTTATTTGTATGTTAAAAATTGAAATTGTGGGCCTAATGGGCATCCCAATTTTATTTAGTTTGTTCCAAAATTGAAATTGTGCTTTCCTTAGGCAGGCCCAAACCAAACCATTTCGGGAGCTCAAAAGACGACAAAGAAACACAAACACAGTGACCCAACAGAAACAGAGGAGAGAGACAGAGAAGGAAATGATGATGGGCAGGGGAGGCAGAGATAGAGAGGAAAGGGATGAGGAGGAGGGCAAGGGTTTGCTGTGGAAGCTTCCAGTTATCAAAACCCCGCAACTCGGGAAGGTGGGTCCCGCCTTTGGTGTCGGCGTTGGCTGTGGCTTGGGCTTCGGCGTCGGCCTCCTCGGCGGTACTTGGTTCTTCTTTCTCTCTCATTTTCTCACGTTGAATTGAGTTGAGTTTTCTGTTTGTTTATCCTAATTTAGGGTTAGACTGCCAATCAATTAGTTGCCACTGCCAGGCCTAGGTTTGTATAGAATATAGATTTTGGGTCCATTTAATTTAATTAGGGCACCGCCGCACCACATATTAATTGTCTGGCGACTTGAAATTTAGGTCGTTAAGCTAAGCAGTTCTTGAATCACCAGTGTCAGTGAGAGTGAGGTGATCATTTATACAGCTAGAGCCTAGAGCCTAGAGCCTAGAGCTAGCTACCCGATGCAATTCTTTTCTAGCTGCACCTGCACCACACGATTTTATCAACACCAGTGGCAGTGATCATTTGATCATTTCATATTTATCTTTCTGTGTTTGTGTTATGTTTGATGACACATATGGTTATTGCTTTTGGAAAACCAACTCTCTAGGCTTAGGATTTGGTCCTGGGATTCCTGGCTTACAAGTTGGCTTTGGCCTTGGTGCTGGATGTGGGGTCGGCTTAGGATTCGGCTACGGCGTCGGCAAGGGCATTGCTCATGATGACCATCGGAGATACTCTAATGTTGGCAATCTTTTTCAAGGAGCAAATGTTGGCATTTCTCGTGCTTCTGGAAATCTGCCTACTCAGTAAGTTTGCTGTTTTCCTTTGTCAATATTTTCTGGGGAGGGGACTTTTCTTTTTCTTGTTTTGTTTTTTGAAAAATAGAAAATAAACCCTAATGTAAAGAAACCGAAAAACCCATGTAACCTTGTTCTTCTGTTCAGTAAAAGTGTAAATCAACTTCGATCTGATTTATTTGTTGACGGGCAATACTAGGACCTTCTCTATCCAACAAGTTGCCAAATGATGCAGAAAATTGAAAAATTGTTTTGAAATCACCATTTTATAGGATACTTTTCCTGCTGTTCAAGTTTCTAATCCTCATTTGTATTGTATTAGTATATATACATGGGATGTTCATTTTTCGTATGTTTTCGTCAGGGATGATATTGGTGCACTAGTTGAGGAGCTTGTTGATAATACAAAGAAACTTGTGAGAGCTACTACAAGAGAAATGGACAAGTGGAGAAGATGAGTTCTCTTTTGTGACTTTAGCTTGCTGAGTTGTTAATGTAGATTTGAATTGATTATGATTTACTGAATACTGTTATGTAGCTAAGGTCTATTAGTACTCTCCTCTGCGTGAAAACGCCGTCTTTCTCGCATTACTTGTTTATAATCTTCTCTACAGACTATAGTTTCTTGAAATGAACGCTTAAAATGATTAGATCTCTGTGTTTTGAAATGTGCAATAAAAATGAGAAAGAAAGGTGCGCGTCTAGAAAGAATGAATTGTACAATTTTAGATCTATGTCTTTTACTTCAAGTTAAACAGAACATTTGTAAACATATGAAAGAATGTATAGCAAAATAGAATAGTTTATTCCTCAAAATCCTGACCAACTTTTTCTTCGTTGTCTGAGAATACTCATTTGTGTACAATATCTAACTTCAAAATTTGGAAAATGCCATTTATCTTAAAATTTCAAAGATACAAATTTTGATCTTTTGTAACGTTGAGGTCATCGTTGATACGCAAAGGGGCGATATCCTTTCCCTCATTGACAGGGAATCGTTACCTAAAGTTGGCATTTGGACGCATAAGTCTTCCCAATGTATAACCAAATTGATATTCAAGGTATCACAACAATGTTCTCTTATCAAACAATCTACATTGCCCACACTGGCACCTCTGCGAGGGGTTTTTTTTTTCCATGTGTCAAAAAGAGAGTAAAATTGTCATTGAAGGGTCTGAAACTTAAAGTAACGGTAGAATAAGCTCAATGTAATTTACCCAAGTAAAATATGGAGGATTTTACCTGATGATCTCCACTCTTACCTTAAACACCTAAGGGGAAAAAACAGTAAAAAAACAACGTCTTGGGTTTTATGCAGCAAATGGGTTGCTGTTGGGTATCTATGGTAAATTTGCAGATGAAAAAGAAAGGCTGAGAGTGAGAGTGAGAGTGAGTGAAGAAAGAGTCGAGACCATCAACATTGGATTGGATAGAAGATGTTATCTGAAGAGCATCCCACGTCAGCAGCATCATCTGCCAAATCAGCAAATCCACCCTATGAAATCATGGGAATGGATTGCGCAGGTTCATTGCAAACCAATCAAATCCTGCAAACAAAAATCCGACTTGGCACGTCCACATCCACCAGCTCAAGCTTATAGTATATCGCTTGTGAGCCATAGTTTCCACTACGTACTTACTGAGTGAGTCCTCCTCCTCCTCCTGAGCATAATTGGGGCAGGACGCCGGTAGCTGAGAGAGAGAGTAGTTGAGAGAGAGAGAGAGAGCAGGTGAAGGTCAAGGTTAAACTGAAATGGCTTCTCTGGCAGCATCAACAGCGGCTGCTTCCCTTGGTGTGTCTGAATTGCTTGGAAACAGTCTGAACAACTTTAGCGGCGCAGCCAGGTCGGCCCCTTCGGCCACCACCCCAGCCACCTTCAAGACCGTCGCACTCTTCTCCAAGAAGAAGGCCGCTCCTCCCAAGGCCAAGGCTGTTGCTCCTGCTGACGAAGAGCTCGCCAAGTGGTATGGTAAGTTGTTCATCATCATCTTCTTTTCTCCCTCCAATTATTAATAAATCAGTGCCATGCCATGCAGTTAATTAATTAATTCATCAGGTCCTGATAGAAGAATCTTCTTGCCTGAGGGGCTCTTGGACCGCTCAGAGATCCCAGAGTACTTGACTGGAGAAGTTCCTGGCGAGTAAGATATTAAACATCTCTATCTCTCTCTAGCTAATTGAAATTATTGAGCAATTACTTGAACCTCTAATTGAGTTGTCCATTACTTCATTTCATTGATATGATGTGCATGATCCAATGCAGTTATGGATATGATCCTTTTGGGCTAGGCAAGAAGCCAGAAAACTTCAGCAAGTAATACTCTCTCTCTCTCTCTCTAGACTAGAGATATGATTTCTTTCTCCTGCAGTTAATTTTCATTAGGATGGAAACAAACAGATGATCAATTTAATTGGTGACATGTGGGGGTAATTAATACCGTGGTGTCTTTGAATAATGTTAATGCAGATACCAAGCATATGAGCTAATCCATGCTCGGTGGGCTATGCTTGGTGCTGCCGGATTCATCATCCCAGAGGCCTTCAACAAATTTGGTGCTAACTGCGGCCCTGAGGCTGTCTGGTTCAAGGTTTGCATTTAGTTTAATAAGTCAATTAAACATTGTTTTTCATATCGGAGTAGAAGCGTTCAACTTATCATGACTCTTACTGTATTATTACCCATGAATGCAGACAGGAGCTCTACTCCTTGATGGGAACACATTGAATTACTTTGGTAAGAACATACCTATCAATCTCATCTTTGCTGTTGTTGCTGAGGTTGTTCTTCTAGGTGGAGCAGAATACTACAGACTCACAAACGGCTTGGTACGTAACTAGAATTCATTTTAATTTTATAGTTTACTACCCTGATTTCATCATTGCTGTTATCTAAACTAATAAATTCTGAGTAAACCCACATAAGATGTTGGAACTTTTCAAATTTTAGTCCGAGTATTTTAGTGTACAAGATAATTGATCATATCAAAATTCACACACTACTAGTCATAATCTGCCAGACTGCCTGCCTTATATCTGCACTGTCAACCCGGGAGCAAATCCCTTAAACTAAAGTCAAAATTTCACTTGCTTCATGGGACAATTTGAAAAATCTGAGGTTGAAGACAATGATAGTGGGATACAGCTCATGCATATGCTGGTAGATATATATATGCCCTTTTAAGAAAAATAATAACGCAATCAATAAAAAAGAAAGGATTACTTGAATTAAGGATGACAATCTCATGACTCTGTTGTGTGATTTTCCTGGTAGGATTTGGAGGACAAGCTTCACCCAGGTGGTCCTTTTGACCCATTGGGGCTCGCTAAGGATCCAGACCAGGCTGCATTGCTAAAGGTGAAGGAGATTAAGAACGGAAGACTTGCCATGTTTTCCATGCTTGGTTTCTTCCTGCAAGCTTATGTCACCGGAGAAGGTCCTGTCGAAAACCTAGCAAAGCATCTCAGTGATCCCTTCGGCAACAACTTGCTTACTGTGATTGGTGGCTCTGTGGAAAGAGCTCCAACCCTGTAATTTTAAGTTTCCTCTTGCCGCTCCACTCAAAATTCAAGTGCATTGTATATCACATTCGGTCCTTTTTAAGGCATTTAACCTTAAACCTTGAATGGAATTGCAGCTGCTTTTCATTTTATATATAGAGACCTACCATAACATAACCTAGGGTTGTAGCGTCTGTCAAACTATATATGTTCTTCCGGCCAAATTATCATGCTCTGCATATCCTTGACATCCAATTTGCTCAAGGATCATTATCAAAAATTTGTTCATCTTTAATAACTTGGCTGTTTGCTGTGACAAAACGAGTTAATTTGAAACCCTTCAAATAAATAATACTATCAATGATATGAGATGACAGTTTCCAGAAAGGTTATACCATTACCATTCCTAAGCAATGAGAGCTACCAAAATAGAGATTTTAGTATGCAAACAACCAGAGTTTCAAGGAAGTTGAGCCACGAAGAGAATAACAAAAGTAGTAGAATTCTATAGTGAGATGTGGCGCTATATCTGAACCGTTTGATCAAATTAATCAATTTAATCCAACGATTAAAAAATAAGACCTTATCTAACGACATTAGATAACGCCCTCACTATAGAATGATTCTGACAAAGTAATATGAGATAAAACAGACCAGATAAGCAAGTATGAGGCCCACGAATGGGCTTGTGCAGGACAGGAGCCCATCGGATCCAATAACGACCATCGGGCTTGTGGGCCGTAGACCCAATGTTTGAGTTTGACTGATGAGCCGCCGGCCCTACTTCGGTTCCCTTTCATAAACAAAACTTGCCTAATACAAAACTCCATCCTTGAATCTTGATTCACCCTCTTCTTCGATTCTCAGGCTCTCAGCTTGTTAAAAATGGCGGCCATCGCTCCATCCTCTTCCTCCTTTTCAAATCCCTCTCCTCTCCCTTCTTCAACAAATTCCCAAAACAACACTTCCAGATTTACCCGCCCCTTTTCCCCTTTTCCCCAGAAGCCCACTCTCTACCGCCCTCTCCACATCTCCAATTCTCTCTCTCCCAAACCCAAAGCAACGAGCACCGGCAGCATCACCACCACCCCTATTACCACCACTTCAGACCCACAAACTTTCATTTCCCGATATGCCCCTGATGAGCCAAGAAAGGGCGCGGATGTCCTGGTGGAGGCCCTCGAACGCCAAGGCGTCACCGACGTATTCGCCTACCCTGGAGGCGCATCCATGGAGATCCACCAGGCCCTCACGCGCTCCTCCACCATCCGCAACGTCCTCCCTCGCCACGAGCAAGGTGGCGTCTTCGCTGCCGAGGGCTACGCGCGCGCCTCCGGCCTCCCCGGTGTCTGTATTGCTACCTCTGGCCCTGGTGCCACCAACTTGGTCAGTGGCCTCGCCGACGCACTCCTCGACAGCGTCCCCGTGGTTGCTATCACTGGACAGGTCCCCCGCCGCATGATCGGCACCGACGCTTTTCAAGAGACACCCATCGTTGAGGTAACCCGATCCATCACCAAACACAATTACCTTGTTCTTGATGTAGAGGAAATTCCTAGAATTGTTCGTGAGGCTTTTTTCTTGGCCACCTCAGGCCGACCAGGCCCAGTTTTGATAGACATACCCAAAGATATACAGCAACAGCTTCTAGTTCCCAATTGGAACCAACCCATGAGTCTACCCGGCTACATGTCTAGGTTGCCCAAGTCCCCCGCTGAGTCCCATTTGGACCAGATTGTGAGGTTGGTATCTGAGTCGAAGAAGCCGGTTTTGTATGTTGGTGGAGGGTGTTTGAACTCGAGCGACCAGTTGAGGCGATTTGTGGAGCTTACCGGGATCCCCGTTGCGAGTACTTTGATGGGTCTCGGGGCGTACCCGTGCTCTGACGAATTGTCCCTCCAAATGCTTGGGATGCATGGGACTGTGTGTGCTAATTATGCTGTGGATAAGTCTGACTTGTTGCTTGCTTTTGGGGTGAGGTTCGATGACCGTGTCACAGGGAAGCTCGAAGCATTTGCTAGCCGCGCTAAGATTGTTCACATTGATATTGATTCAGCAGAGATCGGAAAGAATAAGCAGCCTCATGTGTCAGTTTGTGCAGATGTGAAGTTGGCATTGGCAGGGATAAATCGAATATTGGAAGGCAAAGGAAGCAAGCTTAAACTAGATTTCTCAGCTTGGAGGGAGGAGCTGAAAGAGCAGAAGGTGAAGTTTCCATTGAATTATAAGACTTTTGGGGAAGCCATTCCTCCTCAGTATGCGATTCAGGTCCTTGACGAATTAACGGATGGGAATGCAATTATAAGCACTGGAGTTGGGCAGCATCAAATGTGGGCAGCTCAATTTTACAAATACAGGAGGCCTCGCCAGTGGTTGACGTCAGGGGGATTAGGGGCTATGGGTTTTGGATTGCCTGCTGCTATCGGGGCTGCTGTTGCAAATCCAGATGCAATTGTTGTTGACATTGATGGCGATGGGAGTTTCATGATGAATGTCCAAGAATTGGCAACTGTCAGGGTAGAGAATCTTCCCGTTAAGATAATGCTGTTGAATAATCAGCATTTGGGTATGGTTGTTCAGTGGGAGGATCGCTTTTATAAGGCGAACAGGGCTCACACTTACTTAGGGAACCCATCAAACGAGTCTGAGATATTCCCTAATATGCTCAAGTTTGCAGCAGCTTGTGGGATACCAGCTGCGCGTGTGACGAAGAAGGAGCATCTGAAGGAAGCAATTCAGAAAATGTTGGACACTCCTGGTCCATACTTGTTGGATGTAATAGTGCCCCATCAAGAGCATGTCTTACCTATGATTCCTAGCGGTGGTGCTTTCAAAGATGTGATAACTGAAGGTGATGGAAGATCGTCTTATTGATTTCCTGGCCACCATCCTTCGTATCTACAATTTTGAGATGTGCTTTAAGTGTTTAGTTTATCTAATTGTGTAAAATAAACTTATCGTTTCTATGCAAAAAAAGTTATGTAGATGCTATCTCCTACTTCACTTATTTGTTTATGTATTAAATGTATATTGTATAAGAGATCAATCCCCAGCTTCCTAAAGAAAATGCTAATAGTTAAGATGGTATTCTTTGTTTAAAGTGAATTAGGTGATGCAGCAGGTCGATTGCTCAAGGTTACGTTTGTTTCAATACTCGCTAATTTGTTCTCTGCTGGGATTAATTTGTTTATAGAATTTGTTGGTTGATTGAGTAGGTATTAAAAGTTGATTTCATATGGATTTATTCAATACCGCTGGTACTGCCACTGTAAGTATATATTTGTTGGTTTCTACTTTCTAATTTTTAGGCAGATTTTTTGGACCCTAAATTTAAGGCTTGCAGCTTGATTCATTGACAGTGTTGTTGGTACGGCTACCGTTAATGTGAACTTTTTCTTGGTTGCTTTCTAATGTTGACACTTCATTGATAGGGTTCGTCATCGAGTCGGGCTGGGCTGAAATTTTTGAGTTCTAGCTGCGTTTTACAGGCTTTTTAAATTTTTCATATTGGGCCAAAGTTTCCAAGGGCTTGATTCGGACAAAACTATCTGATCAGGTCGGGCTTTTTTAAAAATAATTAATTAAATTTCTAAGTCTTTTAAAATTTTTTGTTACATATTTTTTGTCAAAAGTGATGGATAAAGAGTTTTCTCTTAAACAATAGTATAAATTACTACATAACTTAAGAAAACAAAAATATAATAACCAAACTCTTTTACTAAACCTACACCAATAGCCAATATATTTTTAAAAAAATATTATACCTAAAAATGAATTTTATGAAAATGTGTTACTTCTACGCCTATCTCAAATTAGGATTGATATTATGAAAATTAAAGCAATTTTGCCATTAAGATTAATAAAGCCAAAATAAGCTTTCAAATTCTTTATTGAACCATTAAATTTGAACTTGTCAAAAAATAGGCACTAAAAGATTATTGTATATATTGCTTGTTTCCCACTCACTTTTTATCCACCTGTTGAGGCCCAAAAAAGTCACGAGAAGCCCAAAGACATTTAAGGCTCGATATAACATATAATTTTGGTCATGCGTTAATCCAAGCTATATTTTGGGAATTAAATAAATAAATAATAGTATCCATGCCATGCAAAGCCAATAATACATTTTTCATATGTCAATCACCTATCAAGCTTACATGAACTCAAGTTATGTGGTTACGGGGCTTGCATGAGGGATTGTGGTGTGGAAGGTTACGGAGGTCCACAAGGCCCACGGAAGCTCTTGGATAATGGAGACTTTGGGTTAGCTACTTGGGAGCACCAAAGTTCAAGCCCATTACTTAGAGTTCTCTAATGTGGGTAAGCAAATGAGATATTTTCCAAACATTTCCTTTTATCCATAGGAAATAGTCATTTTCCAAATGCCTAGCTTTATCCGTTGGAAATAAGCCTTTTCCAGCACTCCCTATTCCCCATTGGAAACAAGCCAATTCTGACACTTCCCTTTACCAGTTGGAAATAGTCATTTTCCAATGCTTAGCTTTACTCATTGAAAATAAGAATGTCCCAATGCTCCCTTTTACCCATAGGAAATAAACTAGTTCCAACACTTCCTTTTATCTATTGGAACCAAAGAGAGCCTTCCCCCTTTATAAATTGGGAGGCATTTGCCCAGCCAAAACCAGCCTATCTTGGTTGTTGCAAGCTTCTCAACAACCATGAGAACTCATCTTCTTTTCTCTTTTTGGCTGCTGCAAGCATTCCAGCTGCCATCCCAGCCATCAACCTCCATCTTTTGACTGCTGCAAGCATCCCAGCAGCTGTCAACCACCATCTCTTGGTTGCTCAAGCCCCCAGCAACCATCGAACCACTTTCCTTTCTCCCTTTGGTTGCTGTAAGCATTCCAACAGTCATCCCAGCTATTCCTCAACCATCACAACCAAGATTTTCCTTCCTCCTCATACCTTTCCAAGCTATAAATACCATAGCCTTCAAGCCTCAAGCTTTTCCTCCCATCCTCCTCTTGAAACTCTTAAATCCATAGCCATAGCCACAAATAACAAATCATCAACACCCCAAACTCAAGCATATCCAACACCAAGCCAAGCACATGCATTCTCATTTGCTAAACTTGTGAATCTTTAGCTCCCACACTCCAAGCTCTCATGCCAAGCTAATATAATCTCATATCTACATCAGCAAGTCATCTTCAACTTTTCGTCAAGCTGCCGGAAACATCAACATCAAACACACAGCCGCTGGAAGAAGAACAGAGTACCCCCCTGGGACATGCTTTTCCCTCGAGATGCTTTGGGCATAGTCCTCGCTAACTCAGAAAAAGGGGCAACGAAGGCTTAATCCACCACTCTATGGCGGTTCGAGAATCAACAAGCCCGGACGAGCCTTCCGACGGAAAAAGACCCCAACATAAATGCCGACTCTGCTGGGGACTAGGCCATTAGTCTTGTAGTGGCTCCTGAAAAATCACAAGCTTTAAAGTGAGTATTCATGCAACTGCACTACAAGAAAATTTGAAGATAAGAGCATTCTCTTTGATTTTGCTTTGTTAAGTTGTTCTGAAAAAATAAAAAAGGATGCAAAAGCATTTCTAATATTTTCTCTTATGTTGTAGACATACCTTCAAAGACAAAACATCTTGCGAAAGGCCTATGGGGGCTTAGGCAAATCCACCACAGCAAACTACACATGCAAACGCCAAATGACTTGGGGACTTCATGCCAAGCAAAGGAGAGAGACAAGAATCCAGAAGCTGCTGTAAATTTCAGTTTTCCTCCTCATCTGGAGAAAAACAAGTTGTATGCATCTCTTCCAGCAACTCGCTTTGCCTCTTCCTTCTCATCTTCAATCTACTTCTTTCAAAGATCTTCTTTGAAGCAAGTTGCAGGAGAAAAAAAAAATACAAGCAGGCCTCTACTCTATTTCTCCACCCTAAGTAAGCCAAAGAGAATACAACCCAACTATGCAACCAATTGCTAACCCCAACAAGCTGACTTGGGGGCTTCATGCCAAGCAAATTCAAAGAAGGACACCATGCCATCCAAACAAGCAAACCTATCCACCTTTTTTGCCATACAATATAAATCATCTCTTTGATTACAACAAGCCATATACCTCGGAGTTTCCACCAGTAATCAGCACACCTAGCCTTTGTCAAAAATCAATTTTGCAATTCACTCCCAAACATTATGCCTTTTCGAGACCTCAACCTCTTGGGGGCTTACCCATGTTAAAACATGCTGCCATTCAGACTCATGCAACCCCGTGCTGTAGGACCTCTGCAACATGCCAAGAAGGAAATTACAACATGCCAAGCAAATCAATCAAGCCAAATTTGCATGAAAAAAAAAAAAACCAACTCAAGCACAAGTCAAGCATCTAGCACATAAATTTTAGGGAACTTCAAATTTTCTCATGTCATACCAGGCTATACCTTGATTCCAAGGAATTGTATGACTCAACTTCATTCCATTCTCATGCCAAACCAAGCTAAATCTTGATTAGATTATCTACATCCTGAGAGCATGTCCAAGCTATATCATCCCAAGCCAAGTTACATTCTTCCAGCACCTACTCCATAAGCAAAGAATTTCCATCACATGCCCAATTTCAAAAATCCTTCCAGCACATGCCCTATTTCAAACATCCTTCCAGCACATGCCCAATTTCAAAACATCTTGCTAGTTTCAAATCCTCCAGAAGCCTTCATATCGCAAGTCAAGGTGCAAGCAAAACTCACCTTCATGCTGTCAAATTCCTAGCAAATTAGTAAGAAGATGACACTTCTCATGCTTTGGAGCCTCTCAATCAAGTCTGAAAAAGATACATTAGCCAAGAATCAGCCGCTGGAAAGGGATGCTTATTTTCTGAAGATGAATGCTTCATCAACCAAGCATTTGATAAATTCACATGGCATAAAACCAATCCACAGCCCAAGAAATTTCATTTCATTCAAGCATTCCAAGCAATTCAAGCATTTCAAGCAAATTGAAGAACTCATGCTCTTGCGACAAAACCATACAACATCATGCTCTCACGACAATATTGCTCAAGATCAGGCTGGGTTTTTTTAAAGGTTTTTCTCGCGATCCTAATGGGCGGGACTAGAACTAGTGCCTCTGAGGGTGCAGAGGTAGACGGTGTCAATGTCGTCGGCGCTGATGCGGAGGAGGAAAGGGACTAGGGTTGGAGCGAAAGGGGGTGGGGAACTGGCCATGGGGGTGGTGAAGGTACTGGAATCTTTTAAGCTTTATATATAGGATAAACGACAAAAGACCCCTTGAAAGTTTGGGGTCATTCTCAATATGGGCTATGGGATTTGAATTTCATCAATTTACACCCCCAATGTTTTCAAATCTGACCAATTTAAACCTTCCGTTAAGTTGACCGTTTGGTCAGACGTTAACTGATGACGTGTCCATTGTGGGACCCACCTACTAACCAATCCTTAAAAATAAATAAAATATTATATATATTTACACCCCCAAAAACCAGGCGCCTTCACCACCCCCCATTCCCAGTTCCCCACCCTCTCTCGCTCCAACCCTAGCCCCGTTCCTCCTCCGCATCAATGACAGTGACATCGACACCGTCTACCTCTACACCCTCATACATCGGTTCCAGTCCTACCCATCATGATCGCGAGCAAAACTTTTAAAAAAAACCCAGCCTCTTCCCTACCCAACAACCCAGAGGCCCCACCACCACCCCCTCTCGCACGAACCCCAGCCCCTTTCGTCCTTTGTCGCATTAGTGCTGGCGACATCGGCATCGTCTACCTTTGCACCTTCAGAGGTACTGGTTCCAGTCCCGCCCATCAGAATCACGGGTGTTCGTCTTCCTTGTGCTTTTAGGCCATGAAATTCGTAAACAAGAAGGCTCTAGCGTTGAAGATGCTCATTTTGCTTCTGAAGAGGAAAAGGAGAATCATTTGCCTCCTCAAGTTGAAGTGGCACAAGATATCGAAGATTGGCCTAGTCCCTTTTCTACGGCCATGAAAATCATTAAAGATCGAGCAGCAAAAAATGCCCAACTGCCCTCTAAAGACCAGACCAAACCACCATTCGTTAAATGGGTTCCTAAAAGTT